GTGAGGTTCCTGTTACATTTTTTCTTTAAATTTTATGAGCGTTTTATATAATGATGTTCTTGTCATGCTTTTGGCCATGAATCAGCACAGCATTTCTGTGCAGGCTTTAATTGAAGCGTGGAGTTGTCTTGCTGTGCAAATGTTGAAGTCAGTGAGACTATTAATTAAAATTAAGTATCTGCATAAGTGCTTTTTCTAAAAATAAGTTTCTTCATAACAGCTTTGGGCCATATTTGGGRAGGAGGGGGTTGTTTTTTCAAACTTTGGAAATAGGTATATAATTCTCTCCAAACTGTGTGATAAAATGTAGCAGCAATACCAGAGGGCAGAATGTTCATGGGAAGAAGTGTGAGCTTTCTGCCTTGTCAGATGTCACCTAAGCTGCTATTTATTGATTTTTAAACAGAATAAAACTGTTATGGCTTTTGTGTTGCATGGGGAGTGATGGAAAAYGTTAGAAGTTGCTGCTTAAGCTGCCCCTGTAGTGGGAGCACACAAGTGACAGGAATCAGTCACTTTTTCATCTTCTTTACYGAGTGCCTGGTTACAACTCAGTTTTTCTTCTGTCAGTTACTTAAAGTTGGATCTTCTCTGAGTGAGACTCCTTAGCTACTTGTGTCATTTATGTTTTCTAGCTGTAGTTGAAGCCATTAAAAATATTGCCCGTGAATACTGAGCTGTGATTTTTCCCATATGTATTAGACAATTTACAATACAATTTTACTGTACAATTTATCTTATAAAATTCTCTGATTTATTAATTCTCATGGTACCTTGGCAAAATAGCATCCTTTTATCTCCTCAGTCTGGCTCTTTACCAGACTCACTTTATCATGCCAGCCTGTTACCTTTTTTCTGATTTCTTTTGAAATAGACTCCTTACAAGTGCCAGCATTYCCCACCTGCAGCAAACCAATAAATTAATAGTGGAGGGAAGAGATCACTGAAAATATGGATACGAAGAATGAACACCAAACTGCCTGTGCTATCAAGCTTCTCATGGCGCCTTTCTGTTTCTTTTAACACTGATGTTCAAAATCTCTGACCCATCTTTTTTGCATGTGTGTAGTGTGTATAAAGCACTGGCCACAGAGTGAAGTAGGAAATGATGAGGGATCTTAATGCATGTGATGCCAGGCAGGATGAAATCTTGTTTGCCGGAGGTCACACTGAGATCTGCTGCAGGAGGGGAGTGCAGGTATTTTCTGACCATGAGATGATTCTTCTGAGGTGTTTCAGCACAATGTGTGTTGATACCCTCAAGCTGCTGGTTTCTTAGTGCTGAAGTTCTCAGTCTTTATCATTTATTGTTTATTCTGTGATTAGAAGCAGAAGCTGAGAATCCCATTTGTACATGAATAGTGATTTTTCCTCAACATCACATGGTGGTTCCTAAAAGTGAAACTCTGTAGGTTCCTATTTAAGGTCATTAATTAATATTCTTGATGTGGTTGCATTTGTTTAGTGCCACTGCTAAAAGTTTCTGTGAAGCACTGTCACATGAACACAAAGCAAAATTTACATTGTTTGGGGAAAAATACCAAATGTTGCCATCTTTACTATGAGCACATCAGTTGCTCTTTATTGCTTTTTAAATTTGATTTTGTTGTAGTGTGGTGAGCTTTTCAATAAACATAGTGGTTTCATTTATATAACACTAGAATTATTGTTAATGCCCAGTTTCATACTGCGAATTACGTATGTAATATTGTCCAGGGGGATCCTGTATCACAGAATTTGCATAGTTATAGTGCTGGTGACATCGTATCTCATACAAAGAACCCAGGGACCTGATACAATATCAGTAAAACTGTCTCATAGGTATGATTCAAGCAGTTTTATTAGCAACATATGGGGTATGAAGGAGCCACAGAGGGTAGTTTTGAGTGTAAGGGTGCTGGCCTATCTTTTTCAGCCTGTAATTATATCAGTCCTCTTCTATGGCATTATTTGTTGCTGCTCTGGGATTGCTGAAAAATAACTACTAATATGATGACACAAAGGATCAGAATAAATTATAATTGTTGACTTTACAAGAAATTCATTGGCAAAAAGGCTTACTGTCCTAAGCTCGGATGTCATTTCTGGTGCAGCTTCAGGGCTAAGCCACTGCACTAAATAATATATTTTTCAAAGTGTTAGGGTTTTCTGGCAATCTTATCCTGCTGTCTTGGATGCTTTTGTGATCTGACAGATACAAGGAAGAAACTTTTTGGCTGCATTTTGGTTTTTAATCTTAAGCTAAAGGAGTGTATTTTGTTTAATTGATGGTGGGATATTGAACTCTTGTTCCCCAAATGGAACATATTCTAATTAATCATCTTGAAATAAARAGTTCATAATTTAAATTATGACATTAAAAACTTGCGAAAATATAATTAGAGAATTATAGAAGTACTCTGTTTAGTTGTGCTTCTCAAAATCATGAAATACAGAAAAATAACTTCTACRTGTTGTAAAAATGATGAAAGTTTGGGGGTTTAATGTTGCTGCCAGTTGGCTGAACTGAAGAGCCATAGTGTATAGTAGCTATTAAAGAACATTTCTATTTGACTACCTTGCAGATTATTTTTAAAAATCCATGTGTTTTAAAAACTGGGGTGAGCAATGTCTCTTTGCATAAGAGCCTGTGTAGRGAATTGGGACTATTACTTGGGGTCTGCTCAGAGTTACTTCTGAATTCTTTTTTTACACATTGGGGTTCAGCATGGAAAAACTGTCTAGGACCCCTGTGTTGTTTCACTGTTGTGGAAATATCTTTTCATCTGCTTTTCTCTATTCGGTTTCCATTGCTTCAGTGTTGATCATAGTGTGGTTGCAATAATGTAATAAATAATTTTATCTGGAAGGGATCTTTAGAATGGTTCATCCATTGTTTTCAGGTAGGATGAAACTTTTCTGAATCATTCCTGACTTAATTATACATTTAAAAATATAGTGAAAAAAAATCTGATTTGTAATTTGCTAAGCTACTTTCTTAGGGTTCAAGCTCTCTGCTGGAACTTCATTGTTTTAGTGAGCTTTTCTGACTTCCAGAAACTTTTGAAGATAATTGCAGGTGATTGAGGAGCTATTTTAACTTGTTCCTGTAGTATCCAAGAGTAGAAGATCTCAGACTTTGCCAGTTTGTATTTGTTTTGAAAAATATCCTCACATYTTATTTCTTCTTTATCTGTTTGGAAGCTTGGAGTGCAAACTCTCTCACAAATATGCTGCTGTCGACAATCTCAAGTTCTTCTGTGAAAATGGAAGTAAAATTATATTAAGTGTTGTAATTTTGAGAAATAAGCAGAAACATGTAGTCGAACTTGTGACTGAGAAGTGGACAGATGTCAACTTGTAGGTGCATAAACATCACAATCTTTAGATCTTTGTGTCTAATGCAGTTGGTCCCCTGGCTCCAGCACAACCAGCTACAGGGTGAAATGGTCATTTTYAGTGTGCCTCAAAGTCAGCTTGCTCTTTATCCATCACTAAGGATAAACTTGTACAGTTTTAATGCAGTTTTTTTTTCCTTTTAATGTAATTTTGCTTTTTTTCATACTTTTTCTCCTTTCCCATATCATTTTTTGTTTGGAGTAGAAAGTTCACACCCACTTTGCTAAAGATGGTAAAGGAGTGATTTCTGAAATTAACTATTAAATAAAAAAAGTTATGTAAACATATCTGGACATCACATCRTAGGGACTTCAGAGCTGTCTCAGGAGCCTCTAGAGCCACTCATGTTAATTGTTGCATATCTTGTAAATGTGTTTATTTCAAAGTACTGGAAGCCTTCCAAGAAATTTTTGTATTTAAAAGGGCAAAAAGGATGTCACAGTGGATTTAGCCCAGGACAAAATAAAGTAAAGGTTAACTTGGGCTTCCATCAGTGAAAGCTTTAAAGCTAAAAAAAAAATTAAAAATATGCTGGTCACTATGGTTTTGTGATAGAAGGATTTGTGAGATGAAGCTGATTTTTTTTTTTTAAGTAGGATTGCGTGTCTGGCCCATATTGCTATATTTAACTAATTTCTTTTGAAGCATTAAATCTTTGCAATGTAGTGTTTTAATATTAAAACCTAGGTTATATGTTATTTGCTGAGACAGAAAAGATTAAAAATGTCTTGTTGCTTAAAGTGTAACTTTTAATGACATGCGAAGGTCCTACATCTTGTGGTTTTCCAGTGTGTTCATGGCCCACTTAATCAGCAATTTCTTTGGTGATCTAATTTTTGCTGCTTTGGTTTTCAGATGATTCAAAGAATGCTGGAGAAATACCTCTGCAGTTAGTCACATAGTTCAGTCATCAAAATACAGTAAAACTGTAATTGATACAGAAAACAGGTTGGGAAACTCCACTGTGAGAGTACAGGGGTGACATGAGGAGAGGGAGACAGAGCTGGGACAGGTCAGCCTTGAGATGAGTGGGCTCAGGGGCACAAACTGAAATAGAGGAAATTCTGTTAAAATGTGAAATTTTGTGCTGTGAGTGGCCAAACATTGAAATAAGTTGCCTTGAGAGGTTCCATCTGTGGAAATACTCCGAACTGGAGGGGACCCTGCTGTTCTCTGGTGTGAGCAGAGGGTTTGGACTGATGACTCTCTGCAGGTCCATTGTGGTGGACGGTTGTGGGTGATTGTGGGCTCTCTGTCTTTTGCCTTTAGCTCACGTGTGGTCTTCACAGATGTTATTAGACTGARGAAAGTATTTGGGATGGATGTTTGTGCGATGTGATTGGGCAGTGTTTGGATGAAGATTCTTCACAGAATCACAGAATGCTTTGTTTTGGAAGAGACCTTGAAGATCATCCAGTGCCAGCCCCCTGCTGAAGGTGGGGACATCTTTCACCAGACCAGGTTGCTCCAAGCCCCACCCTTGGCTGGTCTTGGGCACTTCTGGGGATGGGGAAACCACAACCTCTCTGGACAACCTTTAGTCTTTTCCTAGCCTAAAAGAGTTGGAAAGTTAACCAGATGAGCTCAAATTCTCTTTTCCTTTCTCCCCCAACTCTCTTTAGATTAAAGAACGCTGCTACAATCAGGAGAAYTGTGCTTTGCTCTCTGTCCATTGGACTGAAGCAGATAGGATGGATTGGGGAAAGTCCTGCTCAGCRCTGAGATCCATAGCCAAGATTCCCAAACTGCTTTGGTGAAGACCTCTGAAGCAGTGCTGCCTGGTATTTTACTGCTCCCAGTTCTGGATACAGGTAATAAAGTTTCTGATAAATATGTGTTTGTTAGATGGAAAGAGGAGAGAGCATAGCTCCCTGTTTGAGAGGCTCGATGGGTTTGGAATTCTTGGTGTCASTAGATGTGTTTTAATGATTTTTTTACTGTGCTTACCTTGAAATGATGGCACAGTTCACATTGTGCTTCCAGTGCATGTTAAGTCTGAGAAGGCTGCAGGTTTTGGAAATTGAAGAAATCTTTCCTTCAGGACACAATTAGCCACCTGCTCAATTTCTTTCTCCTTTTCAGTCAAAACCTAGATTCCCATGGCTGCAGCAGAGGTGGGAGATGTTAGGATCTGAATGAAATATGGCTGTTAACAATTAGGCTGCACCTGTAATTCAAGTAGACTGGCTACATGTGGRTATAAGAGTGACAGACTTTARTGACAGCTGGGACCTGCAGCAAAAYAGGAAGAGATGAYCAAAAATATTTGGCCATTCAGATAGAGTTAAATAAATTTGCCTCCCCCCAAAAAATCAACATATGTTCAAACTAATGGTGGTCAATGGTGAATGGAGATTGTATTTTATACTTCTGGTGGGGAAAATTTGTTTTCCTCACACAGAGAATTAATTGGRTTGTATCTTCAAGTTAAAATGACACTTCAACATAACTTCTGTGCCTCTAAAACTACTYTAAGCATGGTCTGTTCAAGGAAACAAGCTGGTGTGACATAGGTGTGTCAGTGCCATTCCTTGTTCTCTTCCCTTCCAGTAACTTCTGAACTCATCAGGCAACCTGCACTGAATTTACCAGAAGAGTAGGTGCTACAGGAAATAACAGACTTTCAGCTGCTSGCATGAAATCCATGCCAAGGACTCTATATTTTCAAGTTGTGAATCCTTTTATGATTAMTGTTTTAATTATTTGTTTGTGTCCTAATTTCTGCCATGTTTCAGATTTAATTAAATTGGAGATACAGGAATAAGCAACAAACTCCAGGCCCTTCCTGCTTTCTGGAATTGCTTACAACAGGGGATTTTGCCAGAACTGTGATGCTTCTGAGGCTGCTTCTTGCACAGAAGTAGCCTCTTGAGTTGGGCAGAGATGAAAGTCACATAACCATAAAGTAGTGTTGTGTTCTGGTGTGTGCCAGCAGGTGGGAGAGGACAGATGGGACACTCTTGTCCTGAGCTGGGGATGAACAGCCTCATGTGGGAAGAGCAGCATCTCTCCCAAATGAGATATCTTGATGTGATGAGAGAGAAAAAGAAATGCAGTGTACACAAATATTGCATACTTTGTATTTTTTTTACCATGAACTGTAAAAATTGTATGTTTTGAATTCCTCCTAGTGTCCAACCMTCCATGATTTGCATTATACAGGGTAAGGTTTTCAAAACTTTTTGAGTTGTTGAACTGCCATTGTCAGAAATAATTTAAACATTCACATGCCCAGGTCTCATTGTAGTTCCATGAAATTTTGATCTTCTAATCTGAAAACGGAGCTCAAAGTTACTTGGGTATTTTTGCTAAAATACTTTAATTCTGTGTGATTTTATCTGGTGTGGAGCACAGGCACTGACATACCCTGAGCACAGGCAAAGCAATCACAAGCCTGAGGGCAAATGGGTGTTTATTGGGGTGAGTGGAGATCAGATGGAGACCACCAATGCTGCCCTTGTAGGTGACCAACTTTCAGTATCTCGTTATTCCAGGTATATCCTGGGTAGGTAAACAAAACTGTCCATCTGTGACTCATTTCATGCTTCAGTGTGCAGTTAAGTGGTTCCATAAATGTTGCTGATTTCCACATACAGCCTTTGGTACCCAAGTGTTATTGTTAAGGGCAAAACAATAGAGGGTTGGTGCTTTTGGCTCCTTTGCTGTTCTGGGTGCTCAGAAAAATGCAACACAAGGTGCAGAATTATGGAGGTGACAATTGCGTTTTTGGCTGCTCAGGTCTAGAAGAATGAGAGCCTCTGCTGTGGTCTTCTCTCAACCATCCTTYTCCTAYTGAAGCACTTCCCATGTCACCTGAKTGTCACCTGAGTGTTCACCTTATCCCCAACCCCTTTGGAAAAGTATTGGAGTGTTGATAGCCAGAGGGAGTGCATCTGTTCACTGTACATGATGYATTTCTGTTCATAGAATCCTGGTTTAGTTTGGATTGGAAGGGACCTTTAAAGGCCATCTAGTCCAACTACCTCTGCAATGGTGGTTCCTTCTGAATTTGTACATGTGTCTTCTGTGATCAGTTGTTCTGTTTATAAAGGGCATGCAACTGTGTTTTAAATTGAATTAATTTAGTTTTTGCCAAGGCAAATTCTCACAAGASCCTAATGAAACCCTAGGCTGATGTAAGAATTTTTCAGAATTATTGGAATCTTACAAATGATAAAGCATAATTTAAAATGAGGGAAGGAAGAAATTCCTCCCTGTGAGGRTGGGGAGGCCCTGACACAGGGTACCCAGAGAAGCTGTCGCTGCTCCATACCTGGAAATGGTACCCAACCTTGTTGTATGGGGCTTGGAGCAACTGGGAATAGTGGAAAGATCTCCTTCCTGTGGCAGGGGGGTTGGAATAAATGTTCTTGAAGGTCCCTTCCAGTCCAAATAATTCTGATATTCCGAAGTCTGCTATTGCTCTGTAGGTTGCTACTGCTAGAAGTGGTTTGTTGGTTTTTTTTTATTTTTTTTCTATCACAGCACCTTAAAATCTGTGTCTTAGTGCAAAGCACAATATCCTGTGATCAAACAGCAGCAGTGAGGAAGAGCACAGACACTTGAATCATGTGGTTAATACTGTCAGTGTGCTTCAGAGACTAAAACTACGACCCTTTCTCACACTTCCCCCATGCAGAAGAAAAGGCAAGTGCAGGCTTTGAATTGGTGCATGGTTTGTATTCATATCTATTTATACATAGGCTGATAGGTTTTTTTTCCTGACAACTTAAATTTGAATATTATCTACGGGAAATTTCACAGGATTCTGGTAAATAGTTAATAATTATTTTTAGGTGATTTCCAGTGTGTAATCTCATTAACTCACTGTTTCAGCATATTTGATGACACTGTCTTACTTTTTTTTTGTTAATGAGACAATGTGGGGATAGTTACTCAGATGTTTGCTARGAAACAACAGCTGGATGGGTGCTAGCTGGAACCTGCCAGTTCAGCTGGGCCAATGTGCTTGGTAGGACCCTGGTGTAGTCAGAATATCTTCTGCAGAACAAAGTCTTAAAATGCCAATTTTCTGTCTTGTATCTTTTATTGTTGGCTTTTTTTGGTTGGTTTTTTTTTTGGTTTGTTTTTTAATTTTCCATGAATACATCCTTATAGCAMAGCAATTCTAAGCATGTCTTATGGGCACAGTTACAAACAATTAAAAATATTGCTTAGGATGAGCTCAAATTATTCCAAATATGTACTTCATCGATAAATATRTATTTTTGTATATACACATATCCCTTCACTTTAGGGATATTTAACTYTTACTGGCTTAGAGACCCTGTATCAGAATAGGGGTGTTGATCTGTAGGAAGCAATATTCTTACTGAGATACAGTCTGTGCAGAACTCTTGATCATGTCTCACCTGGAGCATCAAAGTTGTGAAATAAACCCTGGATTTTAGAGTGTGATAATTTTAAAACACTGAACAAGCTTTCTAGGCCGACTGGTTCATCTCAGGTTAGAAAGGAAACTAAAACCCCTCCCTGCACCTAGAGGGGGAAGCCTAAAGAGGAAATAATGACTTAAAATATGCTTTCATCTGCKCTACTGAAAGAAGATAAAGSTGGRTTGGGGTTTTTTTTTAAACTTTTTATGYAGACATGGTGTTTTGTCGTGTAATTTTTTTGGCAATTTAATTGCAGTCTTAAAAATGTGTGACTGTACAGTTMTAAAAGCATTTGACCAAACCTTTATGTTCTGTGGTCAGCAAAAACTTACTGGTTGAGGTTGCATGTTTTTAGTCTGTAGAGCTATTGGCAGCTGAAAGAGTTGTGTATTTCGTGATCTTTTGTGAAGCTGTAATGAAAATGAAGTTATCATTGTGGAGCTTCCAGTTTTGACAGTTAGAATGGCCCTTCGATCTCTGAAGGCTGCTGCATTCTCCATCCAAGTTGAAACTATAAACATTTTATGGCACGAGATGAGTTGCTGGGATCCAAACATAAATTTTAGAAAGAAAAAAAAAAATGAGTGAATGCCTGCATCCTTGAATGTATTGAATTGCTGCAGTAAGGAAGAGCCATATGGTATTTTGGTAACTTCTGTGCACTGGAAAATTATGGATTACAGGTGAATTGGACCTGCAGACATTCTTTGTGTAGGAATATGATTTTATTTTAGTAAAACGGCACTTTCTGTTCAGCTTGCATTGTCCAGACTGCTGAAGAGTTTTACCAGATTAAGTCATTGTGGAGGGCAAAAGGAGTCCAAGACCATGGGCCAAAACCACAGCCTGTAACTTTCTTTTTTGCATTGAAGAGTGTGCAGGGAGAAGAATATATTCCTGTTCCTTCTTTGAAAATGAAAACAAAAGAGATTGACATCTCTTTACTCTTTCAGTCAAGTGTCACTCATCCTGAAGTTGTAATAATCAATTCAGGATGGCTACTTACACTTCTTTACAAAACTGGATGAAAGAGCTTTGCAGATAAGTTAAAGACCAAGCTCATAACTTCATAACTTTAAACTGAATTAGTTGTTTCTTTGAATTGCTTGTTTTTAGTCATGTTGCCATAGGTATCAAAGCAGCGAGCTATTATCATTCCTTTGTAAGGATTGCTGCTGTTTTATATTCAYGTTGCAGCAGATCAAAGGATGGGTCTGTAGACACGGAAGAGAAGGTGTGTTGTTTCAAAGATATGCAAACACACCTAGAGAGAGTCAGTCCAGGTATATTCTGACTTTTTAAAATCTCTACCAGCTAAAATTCTCTCAGAGGCTGCTGCTCCCTACACTTAGAGCTCTGTCTTGGTGTTCAGAAGGACCTGATGTATTAACTGCCACTGAGTGTTAATGATGCAT